TGTGTGTGTGTGTGCTGTGTGTGTGTCTGTATATGTGTGTGTGTCTGTGTCTGTGTCTGTGTCTGTATATGTGTGTGTCTGTATATGTGTGTGTGTCTGTGTGTGTGTGTGTCTCTTGTGTGTGTCTCTGTGTGTGTTGTCTCTGTGTGTGTCTGTGTCTGTGTCTGTGTCTCTGTGTCTGTTGTCTGTGTGTGTGTCTGTGTGTGTGTCGTTATGTGTTGTGTGTGTGTGTGTCTGTGTCTTGTGTGTGTGTGTGTGTGTCTCTGTGGTGTCTCTGTGTGTGTGTGTCTCTGTGGTGTCTTCTGTGTGTTGTGTCTGTGTGTGTGTGTGTGTGTCTCTGTGTGTGTGTCTCTGTGTGTGTGTGTGTGTGTGTGTGTGTCTCTGTGTGTGTGTGTCTGTGTCTGTGTGTGTGGTGTGTGTCTCTGGTGTGTGTGTGTGTGTCTGTGTGTGTGTGTGTCTGTGTGTGTGTCTGTGTGTGTGTGTGTGTGTGTGTGTGTGTGTGTGTGTGTGTGTGTGTGTGTGTCTGGTGTCTGTGTTGTGTGGTCTCGTGTGTCTGTGGTGTGTGTGTGTGTGTGTTTACAGGATCTTACCTGGACGCTGCACAGACTCTCAAGCACGATGACCTCTGTGAGTTATTATCAGCTGTTGTTATGATGTCATCACCTCAAAGTCTTTCAAACTTTAATTTGTCCACATGAAGTGTTTACATAAAATTAAACGTCCAGCTGTCCAATTGAGTGCTGATTCCCAGCGCCGCTTTCTGACCAATCAGCACTTTAGTTTTGACCACATGGATCCATCATGGCTGATCAGAGTACCATGAAGCGCTACCAGCTAGAGAGGAGCTCACCTGTTCACACAGCGTCGGCTCTGGAACCAGACTCCTGGAGAGGGTCTGGGGATCCTCACAAGCCCCCGACTGAGCGCCGCTGTGTTGGAGTCCTCATGGTCCATGTTCAAACCTCCGTTGTAGAAGCTGGACACTGTTGGGCTGTCTTCACTGACACACCATGTGGAGGTCTGGGACAGAACCTGTGGACAGGCAGACCGGGCTCGTGGTTCCTCTTTTTAAAAAGGGGGACCGGAGGGCGTGCTCCGATTATCGGGGTATCACCCTTCTGCTGGTTGACTTACTGCGCCGGCTGCCGACCTCGGATAAGTGTGCAGGTATACTTCCAGACGGGGGGCATTAAGGGCTCAAAGAGGGACAACGTGGGACGGCCCTGAGCCCTCGCCACTGAGTGTGTGAGGGGGAACATCGACGGCGTTCTTTGTACAGTAATGTTTTAACCATGTATTGTGTTTGTGTGTGTGTGTGCAGGTGCTGAGCAGCAGGGGCGTCTGGTCTCGTACCTGTCAGGTGTTCATGTTTTGGTTGGTCGGGTCTCTTCAGTCAGAACCTTTTCTGCTGCTGGATCTAAAGAAACGCATGTTGCCATGACGACACATGACATGGGTGTGTTCAATGACATCATTATTTCTAAACATGTTAGGATGAATCAGCTTATTATCAAAGAGGGTTAATCAGCTGTTAGTGATCAGCTGATGATGTCATCATCTCACTCTCCAGGCCCAAGGACTGTTTGGCCTGATGACATCATCGGCCCGTTTGGACCTCATGACCAGCGCTTCCTGTTGCCGGGTAACTCAGGCTTCCACCTCCACTTGCAGGGTCTGAGAGCAGAAGAAGAATAGTCCAGGTCACATGACACTCCCTGATGTTTGACAGGCCCCGCCCCTTCTGAACGACACCTGTCCATACTGACCCAGGTGACCTCTGACCTCTGTGTGAGCACTGTTATTACTCTGTAACCATAGTAACCATGTTCAAGCTGTCATTATGTTACGTGTGTGTGTGGTGTGGTGTGTGGTGTGTGTGTGTGGTGTGTGTGTGTGTTGTGTGTGTGTGTGTGTGTGTGTTGTGTGTGTGTGTGTGTGTGTGTGTGTGTGTGTGTGTGTGTGTGTGTGTGTGGTGTGTGTGTGGTGTGTGTGTGTGTGTGTGTGTGTGTGTGTGTGTGTGTGTGTGTGTGTGTGTGTGTGTGTGTGTGTGTGTGTGTGTGTGTGTGTGTGTGTGTGTGTGTGTGTGTGTGTGTGTGGTGTGTGTGTGCTCTCTCTCAGACTGTCAGAGGAGCTGTTCAGTACTTTGATTCGTCGAGGGTGAGTGTGTGATCCAAACGTGTCCTGAGCTGCTGAAGAGAGGTAAACAACACGATGCCCAATAAGGGCAACAACATGGCCGTGCGCACACACAGAAGTCTCACAGGAAATAAAAACATAAATGATATCAGTAAATGAACACTGGGCTCACAATGTATAAAAAACAAGAATATAAACCCTTTTTTCTTTGTTTACAAACTTAAAGATGAATAAATAAAAACATTAAAATCAAACAGTGTTTTATGTGTTCCTGTGTAATTCTCTGGATGTCCAGCAGAGGGAGTGCTGATCTCACTGATGTTTCACTCTGTGTGTCTTTGGTCATGTGATGTCACAGACTTCCTGTCCATGTTCCCTGAAGCCCCGCCCTCTCAGATGATGGCGGTCACAGTAACTCAGAGGACAAAAAACGACATGAGCAGCTGGAGTTCAGAGGTGGAGGAGGAGAGGGAGGAGATGCTGCACACGGTCAGTCTTTGTCATTCCTGATGATCGTTCTGTTTAATATGTACAGACCGAGTGTTATGATTGGATAAGAGGCTTCCATAAGCGCTGATACAGAGAACCAGATCACTCAGCAGGTGCAGTCAGGTAACATTCAGCTGCAGGATTTAACTCACTGCATCATAACTTCCAACAAACAGGTAAATGTTCTGCTAACTAAGCTGTTCTGTGGTAACCACGGAAACAACCAGAGCAGCAGAGAGCAGGATAATGTTTGTTGCCAAGCAACCGGAGCTCTCAGTTGAAAAGAGTTCAACTTCAATGGCACTTCTCCCTCACCGACCAATCAGAATCAAGAAGGGGCGGGACCACTGATATCAGCTTTGTCAACAACAATGGTGGAGGAGAAACCAGTGTGAAAAGTTTCACGACTGAAATGTCTGAAATACAAACCGTTAAAACTACGATCTGAGAGTCTAAAACGTTCTGAATGTCAGCGTGTCCTCTAAACAGAATGTTGTGTATTGTGAGCTATCTTTGTGTACTAACAGTGAACTTCCTGTTTCCTGTTGTAGTTCATTGACGGGGCTCAGCAGATCAGTTTGGCTCTGCAGAGTGAAGGATTCTGGGCCGACTTCATTGACCCGTCCTCAGGCCTCGCTGTAAGACCCACACCTCTCTGTCTGTTGTCATGGTAACACTGTTAGAGGAAGAACTGCACCTCTCTGTCTGTTGTCATGGTAACACTGTTAGAGGAAGAACTACACCTCTCTGTCTGTTATCATGGTAACACTGTTAGAGGAAGAACTACACCTCCTGTCTGTTGTCATGGTAACAACAGGTGTGTACTGACCTCAGGTGAGCACTGACCTCAGGTGAGCACTGACCTCAGGTCTGTTTCTCTCAGGTGAGCACTGACCTCAGGTCTGTTTCTCTCAGGTGAGCACTGACCTCAGGTCTGTTCCTCTCAGGTGAGCACTGACCTCAGGTCTGTTCCTCTCAGGTGAGCACTGACCTCAGGTCTGTTCCTCTCAGGTGAGCACTGACCCAGGTCTGTTTCTCTCAGGTGAGAGCTGACCTCAGGTGAGCACTGACCTCAGGACTTTTCCTCTCAGGTGAGCACTGACCTCAGGTGAGCACTGACCTCAGGTGAGCACTGACCTCAGGTGAGCACTGACCTCAGGTCTGTTTCTCTCAGGTGAGCACTGACCTCAGGTGAGCACTGACCTCAGGTGAGCACTGACCTCAGGTCTGTTTCTCTCAGGTGAGCACTGACCTCAGGTCTGTTCCTCTCAGGTGAGCACTGACCTCAGGTCTGTTCCTCTCAGGTGAGCACTGACCTCAGGTGAGCACTGACCTCAGGACTTTTCCTCTCAGGTGAGCACTGACCTCAGGTGAGCACTGACCTCAGGTCTGTTCCTCTCAGGTGAGCACTGACCTCAGGTGAGCACTGACCTCAGGTCTGTTCCTCTCAGGTGAGCACTGACCTCAGGTCTGTTCCTCTCAGGTGAGCACTGACCTCAGGTGAGCACTGACCTCAGGTGAGCACTGACCTCAGGTCTGTTCCTCTCAGGTGAGCACTGACCTCAGGTGAGCACTGACTTCAGGTCTGTTCCTCTCAGGTGAGCACTGACCTCAGAACTATGACCTTTTTAAAAAATAATAGTGAGCATATTTATTGGATTTCTAAATTTCCTGATCTGATAAAATGATTCATGATTAAATCTGGACGGTTAAGGGTCACTTGCGTCCAGGTGAGAACAGGTAGGCAGTGAGATGGCTCAGCCTGATCGTCCTGAGGACCGAGGTCAGACGCTCTCTGAGACACATGAGATGTGTTTAATATAAAATACGTTGAAGGTGATGATGATGATGTTTCTCCTCCTCCTCAGTTCTTCGGCCCGTACACTAACCTCCCGCTCTTTGAAACGGACGAGCGGTACGCACAACTTGGCTTCCGTGTGGATGACCTGGGCTGCTGTAAGGTCATCCGTCACGCTCTGTGGGGAACCAACGTGTTTGTGGGGACCATATTAACCAACGCACCGCCCAGCAGTGACATCATGAGGAAGCTACAGGGCAGCTGATCACACGGCTGTGACATCATCAAACCTGTGTGTGTGAAACATGTTGGTGTTCCATAGACTGATACACACACACATTTTAGATTTTTTAAATTAGTTTCAAATGAATAAAGTGTTTTTATGATGAAATGTGACATCACCTGAGTCTTTTATGAAACAGCTTCTGTGACGTCACAGCAGTAGCTCTGCTGCTAAAGCGCCCTCTGGTGGCTGATAACAAAGTCACAAAAATACACTGGCTGGAAACCACTGAGTGACGTTTGGCAATCACAGGAAGTTGAGTGACTCCTTCAAAATAAAATAGTATTTATCAGGTAAATCCAATCAGCAGCCTCTGGTGTTTAAAAATGAAGCTGATGTTGAAGTGTAAAATCCTGCAGTTCCTGGAGTGTCCAGTAGAGGCTGGCTGCAGAAGCACAGGAAGTCACATACACACCCATTCTAAAAAGCCTGTTTTTACAGCAGAGATGAACATGTTTACAGCCTGGTTCAAAAAACCAAATAGGTGTGATGAGCTCATGTCTGGATGGACACACACTGTACGGGGGGTGAATGTTTTGATGACTCATCAGTTTTGATTTGATGAAGGATAAGAGTTATTCACAATAAGGCGTGTAGCTGACCTGATTGACAGGTGGGCGCGGTGTAACGGTTTGTCAGGAGGTTTAAAACCCGCCTCAGCTCCAGCTCTCAGCCTGTCGTTAGGTTGACTGAAAGTTAGACTGAGACAGCATTTCCAGCATGGAGACCGCCATCGATGGGACTCCAGCGCCCCCTGCAGGAACAGACGGGGACGCCACTCAGGCCTGGTCCATTATTATTTACAGTCTGTGGGTAAAGCAGGTGAGGCTTTGAGTTTGGTTTCCCCTTCACTATAAGCATCACCTGATAAAGGATAATAAATGAAGTTTATAATTAATTTGAACTAAGCATTGAGGATACTAAATATTTAGTTCAATGTGTTTCAGTGATCTGTTGAATTAGCCTCACCTCTTAGCATGTTAGCTGACCAGGTTACCATGGTAACCATGTTCAGTCATTAATCACGTCTAACGTGTTAACAATTTAAATAACCGTAGATTACTGATGACATCCCTGCGTTGTTTATTTGATACAGAAAACCTGTTTATATTGATATACTGTAGAAAACAACACGTACATGTTACAGCAAAGAGAGAAGATCTCTGCTTTGACCGCAGGGGGGCGCCAACATCAACACAACAAACACAAGTCCTCACGTATGGTCCTCACAGGAAGTGTTATTCACATGAAGAGTCCAATACAATGTTTGAATAACTAAATGAATATTAATGATCCCTCAACATTCAGCACATTCCCTCACCTTAGAGTGATTCAGATAAATACAGCAGATCAAATAAATAACCAACATTTCAGGAGAAAATGAGATACAGAGGTCAAAATAAATATAAAATACAATCTGTCATTCTAAAGGCCAACATCGTTTTTACTGTATCCGGAGACTTTTATTGTGAATGGACCCACAGGAAGTGTGTGTGACGTCACGGTGTGTTTGTCGCACTGTGAATATTAAGATCTGTCGGTCTCTCCGTGTTTCTCCGTGTTTCTCGGTTTCTCCGTGTCTCTCCGTGTCTCTCCGTGTTTCTCGGTCTCTCCGTGTTTCTCCGTGTCTCTCCGTGTTTCTCCGTGTTTCTCGGTCTCTCCGTGTTTCTCCTTGTTTCTTGGTCTCTCCGTGTTTCTCCGTGTTTCTCGGTCTCTCCGTGTTTCTCCGTGTTTCTCCTTGTTTCTTGGTCTCTCCGTGTTTCTCGGTCTCTCCGTGTTTCTCGGTCTCTCCGTGTTTCTCCGTGTTTCTCGGTCTCTCCGTGTTTCTCCGTGTTTCTCCTTGTTTCTTGGTCTCTCCGTGTTTCTCCTTGTTTCTCGGTCTCTCCGTGTTTCTCCGTGTTTCTCGGTCTCTCCGTGTTTCTCCGTGTTTCTCGGTCTCTCCGTGTTTCTCCGTGTTTCTTGGTCTCTCCGTGTTTCTCCGTGTTTCTTGGTCTCTCCGTGTTTCTCCGTGTTTCTTGGTCTCTCCGTGTTTCTCCGTGTTTCTTGGTCTCTCCGTGTTTCTCCGTGTTTCTTGGTCTCTCCGTGTTTCTCCTTGTTTCTCGGTCTCTCCGTGTTTCTCCGTGTTTCTCGGTCTCTCCGTGTTTCTCGGTTTCTCCGTGTTTCTCGTCACAGCGGAAAAAGACGGTAAGTTAGCAACATTAGCATTTTTAGCCGACAGAACTTTATACCAATGTTAACTTGAAGCTAACATCCTCTGTATGCTAACATGTTTACAATCAAAAGAAACGGATTAATAACCATCAGGTGTGATATAAACCAGGTGTGATTGTAATGAGCAGGTGTGATATAAACCAGGTGTGATTATAATGAGCAGGTGTGATATAAACCAGGTGTGATATAAACCAGGTGTGATTATAATGACCAGGTGTGATATAAACCAGGTGTGATATATATAAACCAGGTGTGATTATAATGAGCAGGTGTGATATAAACCAGGTGTGATATAAACCAGGTGTGATTATAATGAGCAGGTGTGATATAAACCAGGTGTGATATATAAACCAGGTGTGATTATAATGACCAGGTGTGATATATAAACCAGGTGTGATTATAATGAGCAGGTGTGATATAAACCAGGTGTGATTATAATGAGCAGGTGTGATATAAACCAGGTGTGATATAAACCAGGTGTGATTATAATGACCAGGTGTGATATAAACCAGGTGTGATTATAATGAGCAGGTGTGATATAAACCAGGTGTGATATAAACCAGGTGTGATTATAATGAGCAGGTGTGATATAAACCAGGTGTGATATATAAACCAGGTGTGATTATAATGACCAGGTGTGATATATAAACCAGGTGTGATTATAATGAGCAGGTGTGATATAAACCAGGTGTGATTATAATGAGCAGGTGTGATATAAACCAGGTGTGATATATAAACCAGGTGTGATTATAATGAGCAGGTGTGATATATAATGAGCAGGTGTGATATATATAAACCAGGTGTGATATATATAAACCAGGTGTGATATAAACCAGGTGTGATTATAATGAGCAGGTGTGATATATATAAACCAGGTGTGATATATAAACCAGGTGTGATTATGATGAGCAGGTGTGATATATATAAACCAGGTGTGATTATAATGACCAGGTGTGATATATATAAACCAGGTGTGATTATAATGAGCAGGTGTGATATAAACCAGGTGTGATTATAATGAGCAGGTGTGATATAAACCAGGTGTGATTATAATGAGCAGGTGTGATATATATAAACCAGGTGTGATTATAATGAGCAGGTGTGATATATATAAACCAGGTGTGATTATAATGACCAGGTGTGATATATAAACCAGGTGTGATATAATGACCAGGTGTGATAAATAAACCAGGTGTGATATAATGACCAGGTGTGATTATAATGAGCAGGTGTGATATAAACCAGGTGTGATTATAATGAGCAGGTGTGATATATATAAACCAGGTGTGATATATATAAACCAGGTGTGATTATAATGAGCAGGTGTGATATATATAAACCAGGTGTGATTATAATGAGCAGGTGTGATATATATAAACCAGGTGTGATTATAATGAGCAGGTGTGATATATATAAACCAGGTGTGATTATAATGACCAGGTGTGATATATAAACCAGGTGTGATATAATGACCAGGTGTGATTATAATGAGCAGGTGTGATATAAACCAGGTGTGATTATAATGAGCAGGTGTGATATATATAAACCAGGTGTGATTATAATGACCAGGTGTGATATATATAAACCAGGTGTGATATATATAAACCAGGTGTGATTATAATGAGCAGGTGTGATATATATAAACCAGGTGTGATATATATAAACCAGGTGTGATATATATATAAACCAGGTGTGATTATAATGAGCAGGTGTGATATAAACCAGGTGTGATTATAATGAGCAGGTGTGATATATATAAACCAGGTGTGATATATATAAACCAGGTGTGATTATAATGAGCAGGTGTGATATATATAAACCAGGTGTGATTATAATGACCAGGTGTGATATATAAACCAGGTGTGATTATAATGAGCAGGTGTGATATATATAAACCAGGTGTGATTATAATGACCAGGTGTGATATATATAAACCAGGTGTGATTATAATGAGCAGGTGTGATATATAAACCAGGTGTGATATAATGACCAGGTGTGATATAAACCAGGTGTGATTATAATGACCAGGTGTGATGTGATGACCAGATGTGATATAATGACTAGGTGTGATTAATAATCAACAGGTGTAATTATAATGAGCAGGTGTAATTATAATGAGCAGGTGTGATTATAATGACTAGGTGTGATTATAATGACCAGGTGTGATGTGATGACCAGGTGCGATACAATGACCAGGTGTGATATAATGACTAGGTGTGATTAATAATCAACAGGTGTAATTATAATGAGCAGGTGTAATTATAATGAGCAGGTGTGATTATAATGACCAGGTGTGATTATAATGACTAAGTGTGATTATAATGACCAGGTGTGATGTGATGACCAGGTGCGATACAATGACCAGGTGTGATTATAATGCCCAGGTGTGATGTGATGACCAGGTGTGATACAATGACCAGGTGTGATATAATGACCAGGTGTGATGTGATGACCAGGTGCGATACAATGACCAGGTGTGATTATAATGCCCAGGTGTGATGTGATGACCAGGTGTGATGTGATGACCAGGTGTGATACAATGAGCAGGTGTGATGTGATGACCAGGTGTGATTGTAATGAGCAGGTGTGATTATAATGAGCAGGTGTAATTATAATGAGCAGGTGTGATTATAATGAGCAGGTGTGATTATAATGAGCAGGTGTGATTATAATGACCAGGTGTGATTATAATGACTAGGTGTGATTATAATGACCAGGTGTGATGTGATGACCAGGTGCGATACAATGACCAGGTGTGATATAATGACTAGGTGTGATTAATAATCAACAGGTGTAATTATAATGAGCAGGTGTAATTATAATGACCAGGTGTTATTAATAATCGACCAGGTGTGATTATAATGACCAGGTGTGATATAATGACCAGGTGTGATATAAACCAGGTGTGATATAATGACCAGGTGTAATATAACTCAGGTGTGATGACCAGGTGTGATATAATGACCAGGTGTGATTATAATGACCAGGTGTAATATAAACCAGGTGTGATGACCAGGTGTGATATAATGCCCAGGTGTGATATAATGATCAGTTGTGATTAATAATCAACCATGTGTGATTATAATGACCAGGTGTGATATAATGACCAGGTGTGATTATAATGACCAGGTGTGATTATAATGACCAGGTGTGATATAATGACCAGGTGTGATATAATGACCAGGTGTGATTATAATGACCAGGTGTGATACAATGACCAGGTGTGATTATAATGACCAGGTGTGATTATAATGACCAGGTGTGATTATAATGACCAGGTGTGATACAATGACCAGGTGTGTGTTCACAGTGACTATGCTGTTTCTGGACTCGGACTCGTCGTCTGCTGCTCTCTGACACAAACATGCTCTGTGTGTTTGTGGTTGTGTGTCTGTCATGGCCACTGTGTTCAGGTGAGTGATCACAGGTGAATCAAACTGTTCAGACAACAACACACTCACATGCAGCGGGTATTACCTGTCAGGTGTGTCTGCACCTTGATCTCTTTATGTAACTGGAGATAGATAACCTGTTGACTCCTCCTCACAGTGCTCAGCTCACTTCCTGCTCCCATCATTACCTCCATGGACTCTGTGGACCTCCACCACGTCCTCCACTGGGAACCCGGGCCCCGGACGCCCAAAGGGACCAAGTACAAGGTCTTTACAAGGTAACCCCCACCCCCTCTGCTCTCACTTCCTGTTACACACGACATACTGGGGATTTCTCTGTGAGGCAGACAGGATGTTTAAATGACTGAAACCCTGAGAGGACATGTTTCACACTCTGACCTACAGTGATGACATTATCATGCTCACTGCGGTTTCATTGTACGATGGAGTTAAATACTGAATTATAACTGATTGATTGGGAATTAATATATTCATTCTCATGAAATATTAAACTTTCTATTGTAACTCATCATTTTCAGTCAGATTTATTCAGGAAGGAACAACAAACACCTTCAGTTTACCAGATAAAGAATCAAATGTGAATAATTATGAAATTTAATATAAGAAGGGGGCTATCCTATTCTCTAAGTTAGTAAATATCACAGAGACAGTGTGTCTGAGACGTTCACTCGCTCATCACATCTCTCCATGTTGTTAACCCTAACCCATGAGAACTACAAGATCACAGGAGAACTACAAGATCAGGCTGGGACAAAGAAAACAATATGCAATCAAACATGTTGCTTCGTCTGTTCAGTTGTGCTTGCAGCAAGCTCGTTGAAGGTAGAGTCGAGTGGTGCAGACGGACCGCGGTGACACAAGCATTGACTAGAGAGGGCGTCATTAGTCCTGTAATACGTGACCGGGACACAGATCCTGAGTAAACTGCCAGTTACTCTGGTTATGACACAGACTGTGAAGTCACTCTGACAGAGAATGGCCAATAGGAAGGAGTTTTACATATTTGGCCCCGCCCACTAGTGTTGTTGTTTGATTCTGCTTGTGTTTGTTTATGTTTGTGTTGTTTATATTTGTTTATGTTGTTTGTTTGTGCAGCCTGAACCACAGGGAATGGAAACCTCTTCGAAAAACATTGAATACATCACTAAAGGTGGAGCTGGACTTATACAGCTACAACCTCGCTGTGATGGCTGTCTACAAAAAAACCACCTCCATCCGTTCTAAAAACTACACCTTTAGCCCCCTGCAGGACAGTATGTACACACAACAAACTACACAATAAACTACACTTTCAGCCCCCTGCAGGACAGTATGTACACACAACAAACTACACAATAAACTACACTTTCAGCCCCCTGCAGGACAGTATGTACACACAACAAACTACATAATAAACTACACTTTCAGCCCCCTGCAGGACAGTATGTACACACAACAAACTACACAATAAACTACACTTTCAGCTCCCTGCAGGACAGTATGTACACACAACAAACTACACAATAAACTACACTTTCAGCCCCCTGCAGGACAGTATGTACACACAACAAACTACATAATAAACTACACTTTCAGCCCCCTGCAGGACAGTATGTACACACAACAAACTACATAATAAACTACACTTTCAGCCCCCTGCAGGACAGTATGTACACACAACAAACTATACAATAAACTACACCTTTAGCCCCCTGCAGGACAGTATGTACACACAACAAACTACACAATAAACTACACTTTCAGCCCCCTGCAGGACAGTATGTACACACAACAAACTACATAATAAACTACACTTTCAGCCCCCTGCAGGACAGTATGTACACACAACAAACTACACAATAAACTACACTTTCAGCCCCCTGCAGGACAGTATGTACACACAACAAACTACACAATAAACTACACTTTCAGCCCCCTGCAGGACAGTATGTACACACAACAAACTACACAATAAACTACACTTTCAGCCCCCTGCAGGACAGTATGTATACACAACAAACTACATAATAAACTACACTTTCAGCCCCCTGCAGGACAGTATGTACACACAACAAACTATACAATAAACTACACCTTTAGCCCCCTGCAGGACAGTATGTACACACAACAAACTACACAATAAACTACACTTTCAGCCCCCTGCAGGACAGTATGTACACACAACAAACTACACAATAAACTACACTTTCAGCCCCCTGCAGGACAGTATGTACACACAACAAACTACATAATAAACTACACTTTCAGCCCCCTGCAGGACAGTATGTACACACAACAAACTACACAACAAACTACACATTCAGCCCCCTGCAGGACAGCATGTACACACAACAAACTACACCTTCAGCCCTCTGCAGGACAGTATGTACACACAACAATCTACACAACAAACTACACTTTCAGCCCCCTGCAGGACAGTATGTACACACAACAAACTACACCTTCAGCCCCCTGCAGGACAGTATATACACACAACAAACTACACCATCAATCCCCTGCAGAACAGTATGTACACACAACAAACTACACCTTCAGCCCCCTGCAGGACAGTATATACACACAACAAACTACACAAAAAACTACACCTTCAGCCCCCTGCAGGGCAGTATGTACACACAACAAACTACACTTTCAGTCCCCTGCAGGACAGTATGTACTCACAACAAACTACACAAAAAACTACACCTTCAGCCCCCTGCAGGACAGTATGTACACACAACAAACTATACAACAAACTACACCTTCAGCCCCCTGCATGACAGTATGTACACACAACAAACTACACCTTCAGCCCTCTGCAGGACAGTATGTACACACAACAAACTACACGTTCAGACCTCTGCAGGACAGTATGTACAGACAACAAACTACACCTTCAGCCCCCTGCAGGACAGTATGTACACACAACAAACTACACCTTCAACCCCCTGCAGGACAGTATGTACACACAACAAACTACACAACAAACTACACCTTCAGACCCCTGTAGGTCAGTATATACACACAACAAACTACACCTTCATCCCCCTGCAGGACAGTATGTACACACAACAAACTACATAATAAACTACACTTTCAGCCCCCTGCAGGACAGTATGTACACACAACAAACTACACAACAAACTACACATTCAGCCCCCTGCAGGACAGCATGTACACACAACAAACTACACCTTCAGCCCTCTGCAGGACAGTATGTACACACAACAATCTACACAACAAACTACACTTTCAGCCCCCTGCAGGACAGTATGTACACACAACAAACTACACCTTCAGCCCCCTGCAGGACAGTATATACACACAACAAACTACACAAAAAACTACACCTTCAGCCCCCTGCAGGGCAGTATGTACACACAACAAACTACACTTTCAGTCCCCTGCAGGACAGTATGTACTCACAACAAACTACACAAAAAACTACACCATCAATCCCCTGCAGAACAGTATGTACACACAACAAACTACACCTTCAGCCCCCTGCAGGACAGTATATACACACAACAAACTACACAAAAAACTACACCATCAATCCCCTGCAGAACAGTATGTACACACAACAAACTACACCTTCAGCCCCCTGCAGGACAGTATATACACACAACAAACTACACAAAAAACTACACCTTCAGCCCCCTGCAGGGCAGTATGTACACACAACAAACTACACTTTCAGTCCCCTGCAGGACAGTATGTACTCACAACAAACTACACAAAAAACTACACCTTCAGCCCCCTGCAGGACAGTATGTACACACAACAAACTATAACAAACTACACCTTCAGCCCCTGCATGACAGTATGTACACACAACAAACTACACCTTCAGCCCTCTGCAGGACAGTATGTACACAACAAACTACACGTTCAGACCTCTGCAGGACAGTATGTACAGACAACAAACTACACCTTCAGCCCCCTGCAGGACAGTATGTACACACAACAAACTACACCTTCAACCCCCTGCAGGACAGTATGTACACACAACAAACTACACAACAAACTACACCTTCAGACCCCTGTAGGTCAGTATATACACACAACAAACTACACCTTCATCCCCCTGCAGGACAGTATGTACACACAACAAACTACACCTTCAGACCCCTGCAGGACAGTATGTACACACAACAAACTACACCTTCAGACCCCTGTAGGTCAGTATATACACACAACAAACTACACCTTCATCCCCCTGCAGGACAGTATGTACACACAACAAACTACACCATCAGCCCCCTGCAGGACAGTATATACACACAACAAACTACACCTTCATCCCCCTGCAGGACAGTATGTACACACAACAAACTACACCTTCATCCCCCTGCAGGACAGTATGTACACACAACAAACTACACCTTCAGACCCCTGTAGGTCAGTATATACACACAACAAACTACACCTTCAGCCCCCTGCAGGACAGTATGTACACACAACAAACTACACAACAAACTACACCTTCAACCCCCTGCAGGACAGTATGTACACACAACAACCTACACAACAAACTACACTTTCAGCCCTCTGCAGGACAGTATGTACACACAACAAACTACACCCTCAACCCCCTGCAGGACAGTATGTACACACAACAAACTACACCTTCAACCCCCTGCAGGACAGTATGTACACACAACAAACTACACCTTCAGACCCCTGTAGGTCAGTATATACACACACAACAAACCACACTTTCAGCCCCCTGCAGGACAGTATGTACACACAACAAACTACACCTTCAACCCCCTGCAGGACAGTATGTACACACAACAAACTACACAAAAGTACACAACAAATTACAGAATAAACAGGATGTGATAAATGTTGTTGTTGTTGTGTACAGGTAGAATCAGTCCTGCTCAGGTGTTGCTGTCTGGATGTGGTAACTGCCTCACAGTGAACGTCTCTCTGGCTGACCCTAAACTCTACATTATATACGACCCGACCTTCAGAGTGAGAAGGAAGAAACCAGGGGAAGCAGAGGTCAGATTTCACTCATGACTCTTATAGACAACCGATGATGATGATCAGTAACTCCTGAGTCCAGTGAAGTCAAATCTGTGTTTTTCTGACTGTAGTGTGGTGTGTTTGTAGCAGACGTTACAGTCTGTTTACCTGCAGACGTTACAGCCTGTTTACCCGCTGCAGACGTTACAGTCTGTTTACCTGCAGACCTTACAGTCTGTTTACCTGCTGCAGACGTTACAGTCTGTTTACCCGCTGCAGACGTTACAGCCTGTTTACCCGCTGCAGACGTTACAGCCTGTTTACCCGCTGCAGACGTTACAGCCTGTTTACCCGCTGCAGACGTTACAGCCTGTTTACCCGCTGCAGACGTTACAGTCTGTTTACCCGCTGCAGACGTTACAGTCTGTTTACCTGCAGACGTTACAGCCTGTTTACCGCTGCAGACGTTACAGTCTGTTTACCCGCTGCAGACGTTACAGTCTGTTTACCTGCAGACGTTACAGCCTGTTTACCCGCTGCAGACGTTACAGCCTGTTTACCCGCTGCAGACGTTACAGTCTGTTTACCCGCTGCAGACGTTACAGTCTGTTTACCCGCTGCAGACGTTACAGTCTGTTTACCCGCTGCAGACGTTACAGTCTGTTTACCCGCTGCAGACGTTACAGCCTGTTTACCCGCTGCAGACGTTACAGTCTGTTTACCTGCTGCAGACATTACAGCCTGTTTACCTGCAGACGTTACAGTCTGTTTACCTGCTGCAGACGTTACAGTCTGTTTACCTGCTGCAGACGTTACAGTCTGTTTACCCGCTGCAGACGTTACAGTCTGTTTACCCGCTGCAGACGTTACAGCCTGTTTACCCGCTGCAGACGTTACAGTCTGTTTACCTGCTGCAGACATTACAGCCTGTTTACCTGCAGACGTTACAGTCTGTTTACCTGCTGCAGACGTTACAGTCTGTTTACCCGCTGCAGACGTTACAGCCTGTTTACCCGCTGCAGACGTTACAGCCTGTTTACCCGCTGCAGACGTTACAGTCTGTTTACCCGCTGCAGACGTTACAGTCTGTTTACCCGCTGCAGACGTTACAGTCTGTTTACCCGCTGCAGACGTTACAGCCTGTTTACCCGCTGCAGACGTTACAGTCTGTTTACCTGCTGCAGACATTACAGCCTGTTTACCTGCAGACGTTACAGTCTGTTTACCTGCTGCAGACGTTACAGCCTGTTTACCCGCTGCAGACGTTACAGCCTGTTTACCCGCTGCAGACGTTACAGTCTGTTTACCCGCTGCAGACGTTACAGCCTGTTTACCCGCTGCAGACGTTACAGCTTGTTTACCCGCTGCAGACGTTACAGTCTGTTTACCTGCTGCAGACATTACAGCCTGTTTACCTGCAGACGTTACAGTCTGTTTACCTGTTGCAGACGTTACAGTCTGTTTACCTGCAGACGTTACAGTCTGTTTACCTGCTGCAGACGTTACAGCCTGTTTACCTGCAGACGTTACAGTCTGTTTACCCGCTGCAGACGTTACAGCCTGTTTACCTGCAGACGTTACAGCCTGTTTACCTGCAGACGTTACAGTCTGTTTACCCGCTGCAGACGTTACAGCCTGTTTACCTGCTGCAGACGTTACAGTCTGTTTACCTGCTGCAGACATTACAGCCTGTTTACCTGCTGCAGACGTTACAGTCTGTTTACCTGCTGCAGACGTTACAGTCTGTTTACCTGCTGCAGACGTTACAGTCTGTTTACCTGCTGCAGACATTACAGCCTGTTTACCTGCTGCAGACGTTGGTTGACTGTACATACTGTGCTCTGTTCTCACACATGAATGTATTTCCTGCAGTATGCGTTTGAAACCAGCGAGCGGAGCTTCACCATCTCTAACTTGGAGAAGGGGGTGGAGTACTGTGTTCAGGTGGACACTGAAATACGACTGAATAAAAACACGAAACCGTCCGCCTGGAACTGCAGCTTCACCAGCATCCTGGAGCCTAGAAGTACAGGTGAGCTACCTGTGTGCTTATCATCTTTATACATTATTCTGTCCATTATAGGATACTGAGGGAACCTTTAACATCCTCATCAAGAAGCTCCTCCGACTAAACAATTTTAGTCCTGTCTCTTCGTTTCACTCCATGTCATGTGGAAGTGACCATACTTTGTCTGGAGGGTGGCGTCTCCCTCTCCAGCCTCCAAATATGGTCACTTCTTTAAACAAAATACTGTAAACATGAACAGCCCTCTCCACATTTATTAAATCAATCCAAATGCTGTACTAAAAATTATAGTTTCCATGGTAGCTTCTGTCAATCCCCTAACTCCTCCCCCCTTTCTGGTCATTGTGACTCTAATTGGGCCATTACTAAATGAGCATCATGCTGTTAGAAGAAGACTTGAAACTAGAGATTAGACCATAATGTCTTCAGGAAAATGTTTACTGAGGGAATAAATCAATGTGTGTGTGTGTGTGTGTGTGTGTGTGTGTGTGTGTGTGTGTGTGTGTGTGTCAGTGCCTGTGTTTTTAGGTGCAGCTGCTGCTCTGGTGGTTGTGGTGGTTGCCATGGTAACGAGCATTGTGATTGGTCTGAGATATTCTGGGTTTTTGTGTAAACTGAAGGCTAACATGCCCCGAGCTCTGCAGGTGAGAAACTTTAACCTTTCAGTTAATCTGTCAACTTTTTATTCAAAGAAAACAACTTTCATACGTTTGTGAATCTAAAGCTGTCACTACACCGCAATTCTGAACTTTGATTTGAGTACAAATCAAACACACCTTTGTTTCCAAGGCATGAATATGTTGGCAGTGTGATTACCTGGTTATAGTTTGAATTAACAGATTCATCTGATTAACTGATATCTAAGTTATCGTCTTGTTAACCGATGAACTCTTCATACCTCTGCTCCTCCTCCTCCTCCTCCTCTGCAGCAGGCTCTGAGTGGAGGATACACCCAGAGCCCAGAGACCACCGTCCCCGACCACGTCTCCATCAGCTCAGAGAAACGCACCAGGCTCCACAATCCCCCCACACCACAGCCTGCAGTAGGGGGGGTCTACCCCAATGAGGAGGAGGAGGAGGAGGAGGAGGTGGAGGAGGAAGAGTACATGGACAGGGGAGCAGAGCCTCTCTCAAGTGATAGGTCCTGCCCTCACTCTGCCTCTGGGAATTCTGGGAGTTCTGCAGCAGTCCCAGAGCGTGATGGGGGGGTCACAGAGGGGGGGCTCGATCAAGACGAAGATGAAGAAGAGGAGGTGTCTGTCCCTCCTGGGAGGAGTCAAACTGGAACACAGGGTCATCAGACAGGAGAGGAGGAGATAGAGGAGATAGAGGAGGAGGAGGTTTGTGACAGCTCAAGTGACATCAACCTGTTCTCAGTAACACTCTCTGCATTTTCTGCATGCGAGGAGGAGGAGGAGGAGGAGGAGGAGGACGAAGAGGAGGAGGACAGAAGAGACCTGTTGGATGTTAGCCACACACACACCAACACAGCTGTGACATACCTGACTGAGACTGACACCCCGGGGTCCTGTGAGGAGGAGGAAGAGGAGGAAGAGGAGGAGGAGGGGGCATCCTCTGGATATATGAGACACTCCTGATGATGTTTACAATCCTCTGTATTTAAATGTAAATAAGGATTTTATGTTTTTGAATTTTTGCATTTTAAATAAATGTTGACATGTTTGACATTATTAATACTCAAACATCCTACAGTCTGAAGGTCATTGAAGGCAGCAGAGATCTTCGTCACAGTGACTACAGGTAGTGAGGGAATTTTATCAGATATATGGCCAATCTGGGAATAAATTCCTTACCAACCAATTTCTACACCAATGTGTTTCTAAAGGTGTGTAGTTACACATAAAAAGATTTAAATTCAACTCCTTAGGAAAATCCGTGAGAGCTGCTGAAACTTCGGGTACCTGGAACCCTATTGGTTGAAAATTTGAAATTTTTGATTTTTTTTTACATGTGCCTTTAAATAGCATATTAAGGTTAAATTAGGGGTTATTTGGGGCTATTTATTTTGCACCAAAACCACTCCTTGGTAGAGAAACGGCCACGCCCACTTTTCCAGCTCTCTTGAAAACCCTTTGTTTAGGTGAAAATCAATGTTGCTTGTTGCATGTGAATTATAAAGTATCTTCATAGGTCTATTTATAAATGTATTAGTGATGGTAACTACCTTTTATTAACTGTTAAATGTTGCAGTTTGTTAACATTTGTAGCAAGAGAGTGAGTTT